CAACAAAAAAAAGGAGCTCCAATGGGGTCACCCATATCTGGATTGCTTGCCGAAATAACCATGCAGAAGCTAGAATCAACGGCCCTTCCAACGATTAACCCAAAGTTGTGGGTACGATATGTAGACGACAAATTTGTTGTTGTTAAAAAGGACTATCTCGGAGCGCTCCACAAGACCATTAACTCAATCATTCCGAACATTCGATTCACGCTCGAGAAGGAGGTTAACAACAAACCCCCATTTCTGGATGTTCCCTTGCGGCAAAATGCTGACGGAACATTACAAATGTCCGTTTACCGCAATGACACGTATGCGGACGTTATTCTTAACTACGAGAGCAACAACCCCAACTCCCCAAAAGGAGTGCCGTCAACAGTCTGTTACGCTGAGCGAAGACGCACTACTCTGACGAAGAAACCTACCGAAACGTGTACAATTATCTGTCTGAATTGTTTTCCCGCAATGGTTACCCCACAGGCTTTGTACGCCGATGCATGAGGCAACAACAATCCAACAAAAAGGAACCAGATAGTTCCAGATAGTTCAGGCGCCCAAAACAAGCACATGGCGGATCCTTCCTCATATAAGGAACGTGTCTGAACCTGTTGAACGACACTTGCGGAAATACCAAATAAAAGTGGCGCACAAAACGATGGCTACTTTACGCACCCAGCTAGTACACCCTAAGAATAGAGTCAGCTACCTCAATAAGAAAGAAGCCATCTACAAAATTCCATGTGGAGGTTGTGATACTGTATATTGTGGCCAAACATGAAGATCCGTCTACACACGCATTCACAAGCACCAGTTGGTAGTGAAGAGACGTGATCATTTGTCCAAGGTGGCTATGCATTGCCTTGACACAGGACATCACGTTGCATGAGATAAAACACGCATCACCGGAGTTTGCTCCTCCAAAAAGGCCGAGAATTTCTGGAGGCCATGCACTCCGATGATTCGCGCATCAACCGGCGTATCGAGTTAGCTGGGATGTACAAACACCTCAAACAATATGGAAGAGACTACAGCTGACAGCTATGGACCAACATGCACCGCAATTAGCGCTCATACCGGATGACCTGGACTGATAGTCGCCAATTAGCCACTAAGCCATTGCGACTGCTAATTAGATCCACCATGATGTGACGCAAATTGCAACTACCAATCAGCGCCCACATTAGACGACTAGATAGTGGTATAAGCACTTTGAAATGTGAATTGTTCTTTGCGCCTTTTTCTCACATCTGACGACGACCTGGGGATCCAATGTAAAAAATTTACGAATCAATTTACTTCTTTTCCCAAAGGACGCCTTTCCTTGAAATAGTTAATAGCATATATAATAGTATGTATATAGTATATAACACATCGTAATGCAAATACAATAACTTAGATGATTAGAAGATGAATTGAACAAAACAGTCACCAACTTACCTGGGGGTCCACTTAATTTGAAGTCAACTGCGTGTCTGAAGGCGGATTCTTGTCTAAGAACTGGAAAGACGATGATCAGCCCAACCGTGCATCGGCTAAGTCAGCAGGAGCGTATGTGGCTGATCTTCGACAGGCGAAGGTGGCTTTCAGTAGGTGTATTGACAATACACTGTGTCTGGTGTATGTTTATGTTGGCGAGACTTTGAGTGATGAGTGTGTTAATTATGAGCATCAGAATGATTTAGTTAGCCAGCGGCATATTGCGCAGGTTTTCATGCATGCGCATGTGACCTAGTAGGCCCATGCGATGAGTAAATGCACAAAAGCTGTGTGGACAGTGAAGACTGCGGCCTCTGCTGTGTGTTGGTGCTCCAGCCTCTGGTTCATCAGTCTCTGTGCGATGGATTC